CCCCCCCCCCCCCCTCTCCAAATACATGTCCACCTGTTCTTTTTGTTAAAAACCCTCACTATCCGCTCCAGAGCAGCAAATATTGATGGTAGTAGAGCCGCTAAATTCCTGAACATTTAAGTGGAGAGCTAAGCAAAACCTCTCGACTATAACCTATGCTAATATTTGTATCCCCCCTCGGTCTCCAACAGAGCGGTGGTTAGGAAAATGAAGGATCTGAACCAAGAAAATTTTTAGTTGAAATGGCTAGAATACAATAAACGTTGATATAACAGAACTGAGAAACATCACGGTCTCTTGCATTAACGCCTTTCAAAATTTCACTTTTATACAAAAAAAATGGACAAAGAAATGACAAACATGTATACAAAACATTCTGAATAACACCATAAAACCACCGTCAAAAAACCGAATGTATTAGTTATGAAAATCGACAAAAATCGACCGTCCAGCAAAAAGCTTCTTTTCAAATCAAACTGCAAAGTTGTCTCGTCTGATCGCTGAAGAATCAAAACAACATGAGATCAATGGAGGTAATCAACCGAGTAAATTAGGAAATATTCAAACCACCCGTTCAGTTCCGGACAAAAAAAGTACAAACAAATTGGAAAGTCTAACAAAAAAAAAACAGCCAAACACAGCGTGCCCTTTGAGTCAAGAAGAATAACTACCAGATAAATATTCGGCTGTGCTTAAAATCAAGTGGTATGAGTTTTATGAATGAAAAACCTCCGTTCTTCTGAAAATTTGTTAATTTTAGTCTTCATAAATGTTATGCAGAATGGAATGACAAAATACGCTATTGATACTATACTAGTTATGAAGGAAGAATTATTTAGTCGCTGTTGTGAGCACTTAGCTTCAACTTTGTTAATGTATGAGAAAAAACCCGGTGTGAGAACAGAAAATTTCCAGTCACCGCTCATGATTCCTCCACTTCCACACCGTTGTCCAATACGAGCGGTCCATGTACTTCCATCACTTTTTCGCTGAGCTTTTTTACCAGGGCTTCGAGCTCAGCCACCTGAAACCACTGGTTCGTTTAAGACAATCTTAAAGAGACGGACTCTTTATACGCTCACAAACCTTTTCAGCCAACACCGCACAAGAAGAGCACCCAAGTAGCGATTCAGCTGATACAGCGGAATTATTGGTGGGGACACCAACCATGTCATCATTAGCCTCGGCACGATCGTCCTCACATTTGGATGAATCTTCTAGCAATGCTGTGGCGGAAATTGGGTTGTCATCAAAGGTAGGATTAATCAGCGCCTGACCCATGGAGCTGAAACGGACAGTATAGTAGGAACTGAGCACTAACTGTAGCAGTAAAACTATGAAAAAAGCAAACACATTCGGATAGAACTCATTTTTATAAGACAAGAATTGCTCAGCCTCGATCGAAGAGCCGATGACCAAACTAATTGCTAGATTCTTTACAACTAATTAGAGAAATAAGTCGATATTCACACCTGCTCTCAGAAGAAGCGGCAATTTTCTCATTGAGCTTGTCCTCGTATTGAAGGTTCGCCGAAATATCACAAATTTCAGCGGTGCTGATCCAATGAAGTCTGGATCTGGGATCGGTATACTCTTCACGAAGTCGGTCCCGAATAACGTCTACATCAAGACCCATCCGCATATATCCTGCGACGATATTTTTGTCCGTGTTCGAGAGCGGGAGATCAGGAGTGCTGAGCTTATGATTCAAGTGTCTTGTGCAGTACTTCACAAGGATAGCACCGTCCTCATAGATGAACTCCTGAAAATGATCACTAACTTGCTTGTAATCTGCGAGCGGGCAACAAATGTCCGCAAGCCACCTTCAGGAATGAAGTACAGTAGGGAGGTTTGATTGCCGATGCAGTTCCTGGTTCACACCTGCAACGATCACAATCATCTTGAAGCTTCGCCGTTCTTGAATTCTCTCGTAATTAACCGACACCGATATGTTGTATTAAACTTGGTTGATATGATTAAAGGTGTATTTGCGGTGGCGCCGATTCGCGAGGTTCTTTCAAATAAACAATTTATGCGTTCACCAGCGAAGAAAGAGTGGAAGAGTAAAGAGTAAACTGGAAAAACCATGAAAAAGTAACCTTTGATGTTGATTCTGTGAGCATCATCGAGAAGTCTCGAATGAGTTATAACAAAATTAAGTGACCTCGTTAGGAGTTTGGTGAACNAGCCACGATTTTGGATCCACCCCTGAGTAAGTCGGACATCGTTGAAAGCCAGCATACAAGCTGGTAAACGCGCAAGATACAAAAAAGTCTTTCAAGGCCCTCGTCCTAGCTCCTACGGTAACTCAGACAGTTTGCCTTAGGGACCTTGAGTGGTACTTCGGAAACTTAGCCAAGGCAACCAATCTGAGTTACGTAGGGGATACAGTGGTATTGCGCAGTATAGTATAGTATAAAATTGAAGGAAGAACTGATGAAGAACTACACCAGACTACCACAAACTTTATGACACTTTGCTTGGGAGCCAATTTTATGCGGTTTATGAGATTGCGAGTTAGGACAGGATGACATAACAAAATGAAGGAGTGCACTGATGTAAACAAAGGAAGAATCGAACCTGCTGCACTGGTAATACAGAGTATTATGAGCAGTGGACCAATAGCCTTCACATATAAGCCAAGCTGTGCAATGAGATTCCGCAAGAGAATCCTTCCATTTCTGTAAACAAAATGTTGATCAAGAAACTGGGTCCAATAAATACATTCTTTATAAGCGAGTATTGAGATGGAAGTTGCAAACAGTACTCGAGTATACTCACAAAACTACAATCAATAACTCACCTCACATTCCTTTGCATTGTGGAAGGTTCGCATTTCCACAATACAGTCTGGGTCGTCATGAACTGTTCGACAGTGTTCAACGAGGTCTTCATGAAGCGTGAACCATGTTTGGCACAAAGGACATCTTATGAGTGAGTCGGATTTGCTTTCAATAACCACCGGATGTTTCTCTTTCATGTGCTTCAGGTAAGCGCCTTCAGTCCGGCCAACATAACCACAACCTTCCACCTCACATCTCGGCCTTTTCTTCTTCGGTCGCACAGCTTTCACTTCTTCGGTGATTTCCATATCATGATATTTACGCATGTGAACTTTCAAAACTTCATAATCCATGAAACGTTTGCATATGCGACATCGACGAACTCGACGCAGGCGAGATAGTTGAGGAACCGCCGGGTTATTATGTGATGAGCTCTCAGCTGGTTCAAAACTCTGTAAAAAGCTTTTCTTCTCTTTCAAAAGTATACGAATAGTTGATGTAAACACAAACTAACCTCTACATCAATAATGTCCTCTGAGTTGACCTGAGACATTGTCCGCTCCTACAGGCCTGGAACAGCTTGAGATGATCATTTTCTGAATAGCAGCAGAACGGAAAGAGCAACCGCTTTTGTGTTCGATGGAATGGGATCGACACAGCTATATTTCGGCACTCCTTGACCTTCCCTCATTAAAATCAGTGGGGTTGATAAACCCTAATCTGATTCTAAAGTCTAGCGGATCAAGAACAAAATGAATTGGATTTGTTAGAGCCTGTTTAGCCAAAAAGTGATTGACCACGATATAAAGACGGTGCAATCTATAAGAACTCACAGCAGCAGTCTACAACTGCCTACAAATAGCGTACACAGGGAGTCAGCCCACCAACCGTGTCACATATACGATGTGTCGAAGCCCACCGCACAAATAAATCAACTAAAGAGCCCTCTTACAAGGATGCTGAGTAGGAGAAATCAAGTGATGCGCATTATTGGTCGGCACTTCGAATAGATATCAATAAGTGATGTCCGTAAAGGCCACCCTAAAGAACCGTTTACGAAGAGACCTCGCCAACAGGTTCCCGAAGAAAACCATGGACATCGAAGTATTTAAGTGCCCAACACAGTAAAAATACATTAAACAGTCCGATTCCCTGCAGCAGACGCAAACACTTAGCCCGGGAGACTAAAAAGGAGTAGACACCAAGAGTTTAGAAAAATTATGAACTTTGATGCTCCATTAAAGAAGAAAATAGGGTATTAGAGTCACTCTACTTCGCTGATCTTTGAAAACTGGATTGTAGACCAAACAACTAGCTTGATCAGACATACAGATACTGGATTTCAACAAGAAGTTCAAAAAACAAAAAAAATTTAGCGTGACGTTAGGTATAGCATGTGGTCTGTAAATGCGTATTAGCGCGCCAATATACATAAATTCAAACAGGCCCAGTAACCTGTAGGCAAAAGAACTATCTGGTAATTTTGGAATTAGGATGGTCATCATTCGCTATATATTCCCGAGAACGATGTATATAGCTGGTATTCCATGGCTTGTGAACCACCATCATCTCCTGGACCCACTTGCCCAAGGATTTATGACGAAATGGGAGATGCATGAAGAAACTTAGCAGTGCTTTACCTATTTGTACACATACACGATAGTATAGCTTCCACTCAAAAAAAAAGGAACACCAACTCAAGAAAGTATACATCCAAGTATAATACTAATTGATTCATAAATAAACATGATTTGTCCATAAACCCGTTTATTTTACCTGCTTGGAACATGGAACAACACAAAAATTTGGCTAATTTGTAAGGATTGGAGAATTAGGGATACAATCCCGTGAAATTTTGCAAAAAAAAACAATGTAAACAAGTCCAACACACGTCGGGCTATCAGAGTATCGTAGCTGTACAGAACCTTGTAAAACAACATTTCAGTCCAGTTCCTGCTTCACCGCTCTGGTCGGTGATTGTCGAGTATCCATTTCAGACAATGCTGTCGCAAATTTGCATTCATCTTGATTCCGTTGCTTCAAAGCAAATCCTTTTTCGAAGGGGTCGGACTCAGCCATCTGGAAAAGTCTTTCTCACATCCCACTCCAACGAAAATAACAGCATCAGTTGCCCAGGGTGAAGGGCGGTCATAAGGGTTCAGGGTCAGTGACCTCACTGGCTGCTTTCATAGTCCGCGATTTGGTCAGCGAGCGGGCGAGCAAGCGAGCGACAGGGGGCTACTCGCTCGGCGGTATCCATCAAGATTCAGTTGTGAACAAGGGCAAGCGCCGCCCCCTTCGCTCGCTTGCTCGCGGACTATGAAAGCAGTCACTGCAATTCAGCCTTCCTCACTGGCTTACTTCAGCTATTTTTTTTTGGAGAAGATGAACAAATACGTGTCTGATTAGGTGCCGGTTGCTGTGGAACCCTTGAAATTACAACTCCCAGATCATGAATAAAGGACAGAAACATCTGAGTACCTGAAAATGAATCAGAAGCAAGAAGACAACCTCCACTGATTACTAACTCAATAGCACTATGGAAAAACATCTTAGCGCCTTTGTTATATGCCTATCTAATTTCGGGGGCCCGTCAAAGAGGTCGACTTCGTCCGATACAACTGCATCACACCCGATTTCCGTCATTACTCTCAGCGATAATTACATGTCGTACATATATTTATCCACCGTTAAGCGTAGTGCCGGAAGTAATAAGTAATTGGCAAGTAGAGTTTGTTAGAACAACGGATTTCATGATTGCTTGCAAATCATCGCCTATAACACCACCAACCTTCTCGTTCTTGCGATCGACAAGTGCGTCCATTTCGCTTTTACATTCCTTTAACGATGAATCAGGAATTTCTTTTTTGATCCTGCAATGAGCAAATAGGTTGCTCTGCAGCACACAGCACACAAACAAACGAAATGGGTCTATAATTACGGAACGGTCGTTCCCAGCCCAACTTGCTAAGCCAAGAAACCACAATTCTGTCAGAACAAATTTTAGTTTCCTACAGTTAACAATGATAAGGGAATGAGATAACAGATGAAGGGTAAAACCTCCAGCATTGAACAGTCCCGCTTTAAAAATGCGCCTCTTTAAAATACGACTTCCATTCAAAATCGTAGTGGCGTTTTGGGAGCAAATCTAGCCTTTAACCCATTGGCGACCGCGCCTTTTTAGCGTGTCTGGCGTGTGGGACCGAGCGCGCTTTTAGCGGGCTGCTGCTGTGGCCCGCTGGCTGGCCACACGGTTCTAGGAACAAGTAAATTTTTTCGTAAGCATTTCTAACCGACAAAAAAGTTTTTTAAATGTGGCATGTAAAGGTTATAAGTCATACACACTATTTAGAGCTACGTTATGGCAT